CATTCTGCATACCAATGCCCATGCTGGTCACAGTTAGCACAGGTATAGCGCTGTATCTTTTTACCATTCTTGCCCTTGCGCTGCCTCTGACGCTTGCCTGCATGTCCTTGCCTTGCATGTTGGTTCACAACATTCACTTGGTTCGTGTTTGACTGCGCTGTCCTTGGCGCCGCTAGTGACATCTGCTGTTGCAACTGGTTGCTTAAGTGTTCCGCAGTGCGCAGGCGCTGTAGCGCTTCAGCAAGTGTCATGGTCCGACGATCGTGCTTGCTCATCCAGAGTGAGTGCTCTCGTGCCAGCTCAGGAAACATTAACAGCGTGTTTGAGATAAGTAGTGTAACGGGGTTACATGGTGTGGAGCACACAGGGGTACGAAGTACCCGGAGAGTTAACAAACTCTCAGTACATAAGTTGGAGAGTTAACAAGGTCTCTCAGTACGTTGGCTGAAAGCCACACGTTATGCATTTGATTAGGTTTAACTATGCTAGATAGTTAAGGAGATACATTTACCCCTAGGCGGCTTGGCCACAATAATAGTAAATAAAACACTTCTGGTTTTGAAGCATAAAAGTTAAGGTGTTAACTTTGAGCCCTGGTCTTGGGCTGTAAGTGTCCTTTGGATAAGGAACTTAGTATTAGTGACTCTTTGAGTCGAACGTCTTCCTCTGACGCTAAAGCTACGGCAGCCCCGCTGCAAGTAGACTTGCATGTTCCCACTCTTCAAACTCGCCCTTCGCTAGTCGCAGTCGACGCACCATAGCATCAATGTATTGCACATACTTAGTCACAGCTTCCTTGGGCTGCAGCTGACGGTTCATCAGCTCGCGCCGTAGGTAATCAGGGTTAACGCCGTCACCCGCCTCAAAATGCTCAGTAATTCGTTGCCAAAGAAGTGACGGGGCATCCATCTGATCACGGATGGAGTTGATCTTGAATGTTGTTCGTATATCCACCGAGAGTGACAGTGCTAGGGCTGAGAAAGCCTTCACCTTCCTTGCCTTGTACCACTCAGCATACTTAGGCCTCTTGTAGCCCTCCACGGAGTCAAATCTTTCGGCACCATAGGTAATCTCGCCCAGCAGGCGGCTCTCAAAATGCAACGGCACCTCACTAACCCACGCCGTATATTCTTCCTTCTTTGATAACGGGGGCAGCCGAATGTCGGCCGTGTTGCGCAGCGACTTCGTGTGCTCTGCGAGCTCTGCGTCGTCGTAGCGCCCGCCGGGGTTCTGGTTGTTCAGCATGCTTGGTAGGCTGCTCTGGGCTTCGCTGTGCCCTGTGCTGGGGTCACTACCGTCACTTGGATTGCTATGTGGCGGTGGTGGCTGATTTCTAACTGAAAAGTTGCGAGTTCGCAATCTTTCAAGAAGATTTTCTACCAATGATCGACCACCTTGAAATCCGGATAATGACCGGATAAGGTGTTCGGCTTCTTCGTGTGACAGAACATCATCGTCACGTCCAGTAGCTCCATCAGCCACATTATCAGCCAATCGGCGCGCTCCTCGACTCCCATTCGCCGAAACCCCGTCAGCGTTTTGATCTTCCACACCAGGTGCGTCCGTTGTCGAGCCATGGACCCTAATTGGGCTCATATCCTGAGGTGACGCAGGGCGCGTCACTGGACTGCTCTCTAAGCGTAGGTCACTTCTAAGCGTAGGTGCCATTAGAGTAGACTTACACTTAAGTAGTAAAGCAATCAAAAGAGGTACGTAAACACAGTGAGTGCCGGGCAAAAGGCCACGACAGGGCTGCAGTACTGGTGTGGGCTTGCTCTTCTCTCTGAGGTTCGCTGAACCGCAAATTGAATTGTGAGAGAGAGAGAGCAAGCCTCACGCAAGCCAGTACGCCTCTCCGCAAGTTCTATTCGATACATAAACTAATATAAACCATACTTTACCTAAGTCAGTGTCGTCGTGAGCAGCACGGCGGCACGGTCGCTCTTGTCCATCGATCATAGTAAACTTGGTATAACCGCACGTGGCACGTCGGTAAGTGCGCAGCCGCAGGCTGCAGCAACAGGCGTAGGATAGGATGTAGGATCGGCTGTCAGTGTCAATGCCAGGCACTGACAGTCCACTTGTATGTACTGCTGGTGCTAGCCTCTTCACACAGGGGCTGGCATCTCACACGAAGCTGTAGCTGACAGCTACTAGCTACAGTGCAAGCAATGGTGCTAGCGCAGCCGATGATATGAGCAGTTCCGAGCTCTCGTGTGGGGACTGCTTGGGTGTCAACTTGAAATATCCGATCTCACGGATTCAGATTATCCTATAATAACAAATCTTTGTCATGTCATGATTCATAATACAAGCTTTGCTGCAATATGCAAGCATGACTTTGCAAAAACGTACAGATGAGCCCGTCAGTAGTAATCCCAGCTCTTGGAATACCCTTCTACAGGAATACAAAAGTAAAAATATGATAATTCCCAGGGGTAATATAATAGGGAGGGAGTTTAGTTTTTTTGCCCACCCAGGTTACTCAAAATATTAGGGGTTATAGAAGAGGCACAATTATTAAGGTTAAGAA